TTGTATATGCTAAACTAATCTAATAATTTTAATATCTAATCATATCTAATCTTAAAATTGTATCAACTCCTTAACATATTTATTAACTCCAACTAATTGCTTAATAACGTAGACAAGTTTTAACAATTCATTAACAAGATGACTTGTTTTTATCAGATATGCACAATAACAAACAAATGCTTGAGTTTCCAAATCTTCTTTTGTTAGATCTGATGCTGTTCTCCTGATCCTTCCTGATATCCTACTGCCTAATCCAACTTGTCCAAACCTTGTATCTCCTGATGCAATTATATTATATGGTGGTAAAGGAACTTTGTTTTCCAATGCCGTTGATAATATATGAAATGTTGTTAATATATGCGTTATATAATGACATTTGGTTGGATTGAATACATCTGCTAATTGTGTCTTCCATCCTGTTCCATTTAATTCACATAATATAAGGTCTAATCCACCAACAAGACAAACCATATGTTCTACAATATCTATAATTTGTTTATATTTCTCGATCGGAAAGTTACCTCTAAGTGGTGGTTCATATTTTGTACGTGAAAGTAATAACCGTTCTATTGTTATTGATCGATTTATTTTGCTGACTAGTTTACGGAATCGTTTTGATCTTGATTCCATTTTTTCATTTAACAATGATGAAATTGTCATTGAATATAAAACACAAATGTCAGATATTGTACGTGCGAGACGTCGACGAACTTCAACTCTTCCCGTATGCGGCCAAGGCATCATATTCATAATGAAAGCTGATGTGATACCGACTCCTACTGCACATGTTCGCTATTATATATAATACGTAATTTTTAGTATTATTTTAGTATTATAATATTTTATTAAACTTTATCTCTAAATTAATAAATTAATAAATTAAATAAATTAAATAAATTAATAAGTGTGTCAATACAAACCTTTGCCGCAATACTAAAGCCTGTTTCGGTAACACTACCCATTCCATTATTACTTTGATAAACATTTGAAAGGACTAATGCAAAATTGGCCAACATAATAACGCCTCCAACTGTCCACACTTTGGCATTCAAATATATGAACCAAAGAAGCAGTGAAAATACGAAAAGTGCACATGCGAGACCATAAGCGTTGCCTTGTGTTATTTCCCATGTGACCATGGCCATCGTGGCTCCTACAATTGATCCTAAAAGACGACCAATAAATTGAAGTACGGCACCTCCAGTAGTAGGTGAAAAGGAAAGAACCGCACTAATGACTGCCCACTATTATATTTAATTATAAGTGAGCATAAATAATAATTTTTTATTTAAAAATAATATATAATTTATTATTCTTACCTGACCATGGTAATAATTAAACCACACATAAGAATTTGGTAAAAATGCCGGTATACATAATGCAGTAACTACCAATGTATTTTTTATTGCGAATTTGGCATAAATACTATTAAACCAATTTCTCATTAACCATAATTTATACCAAAATCGTTGAAATTTTGTTGTCGGTTGTGTTACATCAGGATCAAATAACATTTCATTTTCAAATTCTTCTTTTTCATCCTGTCTAGTATTAGATTCGAAAAATTTTAAATGTTCTTCTTCTGTTCCTCCTACATCTCTTGTACGTTTGAAAAATGGTATTGGTGGAAGCCAAAACTTTTTGGATTGTCTTTGAATTCCCAACACTTTAATAGTTCCAACCAATAAACATAAATCTTCTGCAAATGTTTTAAGACTATTTTCAAATAATAGTACTAAAAGTAAAACTCTTTGTGGTAAAGGACTAATAAATTCTTTATCCGAAAACAATCGATGTAAACCTTCAACACGTGCATTCTCAAATTTAGTTAAAGCTGCATGAAGATCTCCCATAGGATCATCAAGTACATTTTGATTATGACTGGGTGCCGATTTAAGATTAAATGGCCATATCTTTCGATACCATGGGTCGCGACAATCATGTTTTAAATGTTCAACACGTATCATACAATCTGCTAAACACATTTGACACGTTTCTGAAAGATCTGTACAAATAGGTCGAATAATTTCTAATAATTTGGTCAAATCCTCTTCACTTCCTGTTGCTGTTCCAACTGATAATGGCGATGACTCATCAACATTAGTATATAACGTTACCTGATCAAAAATCGAAGCATGATTACATTTATCTTCGATTCTGATCTCAATTGTTCCTTCTCGTCTATCCTTCATTAATTCTTCTTCAATTACACCACTTAATGCTAATCCTTCTAATATCATATGCAAAGATTTTACGGTTTTATTTATATCTAATAAATCTTCCGGTCCAATTTTTGAATATGACACTTCATGTTGTGCATCTTTTTTGGCTATATCAAGACTAAGAATATTATCTTGTACAACTCGATATAATTGCGAAATTGTATTCCTATTATATGGACCACGAAGAAAAAAATGCGTTTCTTGCTCAAGCAAATCAATAAAACTTTGAAGCGTCTTATGAAGGCAAGGTATGTAATTAGTAGTAGCTTGCTCTGGCCACAACGTTACATTAACCACTAATGAACATGCAGGTCCAATTAACATCGGTATAAGCAAATTTTTCTATAATCATAAAGATAATATCGAATAATAATAATAAATATAACTAAATCTTTAAAAAATACGTATGGTTAGCATGGTTATTTAAATTTTAATCTTACCAATATTTGATTTGTATTTTGAGGGTTAACATATGAGAATGTTAAACTAAAACTCATAATCATGATAGCATTAATTGAACCATAACGCATAGGTTGCCATTTGATTTTATCATATGATAAAGTAAAAGTACCAATAGCCAAGAACGTTAAATTGACTAACATAGCAGGAATACTAAATATTTCGTCACCACGTATTGCTTCGGATACTTTAATACCTAAAAATGACCATAATGTAGCTAAGCAAGCACCGCAAATTCCCCAACCAGCACTCTATATTATAAAAAAAAAAAAATTATATTATTGGACAAAATATTTATTGTATGAAAATAATAATAATAATAATAATAATAATTGTAATAATAATGATTGTTAATTTATTTACCTCCCATAAGGAGCCAAATGTTCTTGAAGGTTGAAAATAGCAAACCATCACGACTGCCAAAAAAGTATAAGGGCCTAATTCCTGCATTGCAGGGACAATAAGGTCAATAACGAAAGCAAGCCAGTAAGCAACAGCAGCCTTAAGAACCTGCTTTGCCATAGGCCAAGTTGCTTTTGCCGATATACCAACAAAGATAGGTTTTAGTAATTTATACCAGATATCCGAACATCTTGGCATTCGTTTAGGTGCTGGTTCTTTGGGTGGAATATTGTTGCTTTCATCAATGTATCCTTTTTTAAATGTTTCCTGGTAAAGATCCGAATTTAGAACGTCTTTAACAGCTTTGGATAGTTCATTGTCTGCTGTCAGGGTTAGTTCGTTATCATATTCTTCTGATTCTTCTTCTTCTGCTACTGTTTGAATAGATAGTGAAGAATTTGAACATG